TCCCTGTGCCTCTCATACATGGCAGGGTGTGCACAGAGGTGATGCACGGGGCATCTGGAGGCACAGCTCACCCTGCTTCCTTGGAAATGGAGCTGAATCCGGAAATGAGACTCTCTCCGAAGGCTAAAGAATTTAAATAAATGCACCACTGATACCGTAACCTGCCAACCCGCTGGCACTCCCAGCTGGAGAGCCTGGCCCCACCAGGCTGGGCAGAATCAGTGAGAGGCCTGAGGTCAGATGTGGGTCGCAGAGCAGAAACCCCGAGACTCCAAACCGATAGGACTCTAAGCAGCTTGAGGATATCACACAGACGAGGGGACAGAACCGCCAGGGGGTCATGGTGGTGCAAGTAACGACCATACCGGGGATTCCTGGAGGGTAGAGAAGCAGAGACGCGCTATGTCCCCTGGAAAGACAGCCTACAGGGAGCCATCCACACCTGCTCACTGGGCCCGCCAGCTTTCTGCTCTCCCTCCAAGGAATGAGGACAGGATGCCATCCCGCCAGACATGGTGCCGTCCAATTTCTGACTTTTGACCAGATTCCGGCAGGTCAGAGAGTTCTGAACAATCACCATAACCAGTTATGGCCAAGGAATTTAGGGAGACGTGCAGGTACTAATTCCAAAAGCTTGACCCATTAACTTCAGACTCTGTTTTTTAGGGAACTCAGAGGGCAACATGGCCAGCAGGAAAAAGAAAAGTGCCATCTTACGTTAAATGATGGTTAAGACACCAATTCCCAGACCAACCACAGGAAGAACAGTGGAAGGCTCGAGAATTAGCTCCCTCAAATACCACTCTGCACGTCTCTCCCAGGTTCTAGAACCTATAGCGGCTCCCCAGTGACCTGAGTCCCCTCTGTATACAGAGCACACTCTCTTGGGGATCTCAGTGCATCTTTGTTGACTGATAAAGTGAAGTTCCAACTCTTCAACAGAAATCAGAAATCAGCCCATCCGTTTGCCTCCCTATTTCCCACATCCCTCATTGAGGCAACTCCTGGTCATCCATTCCTGTCTTCAAGCCAATCCTCCCAAACTGCTTCCACCACCAAAACCTGGTCTCCGTTCCAAACCCTGCTCTCAGGGTGCCTGGGTGGCTCAGTCGGTTGAATGGCCGACCCCTGATTTAGGCTTGGGTCATGGTCTCAGGGTCCTGGGATTGAGCCCTGCTTCGTTCGGGCTCCTCCGTACTCAGTGGGAAGTCTATATGGGATTCTCTGTCTCTGTCTCCCTCTGCCCAACCCCATGCTCTTTCTCTCTCTCAAATGAATACATAAACCTTTAAAACAAAACAAAGCAAAGCAAACCCTCTGCTCTCCACAGTAAGTAGATGCATGGCTGCTTCGGGCCGGAGAAGAGGGATAGGAACACTGAGGGTGATATATATAAAGGGCACGGGTTTCCTTCTGGGGTCAGACAATGCTCTAAAATGGACTGTGCTGAGGGTTGTGCATATTGGGAATATGCTAAAAACCACTGAGCTGTAGACTTTAAAAATGAGGGAATGGTACGGTACATAAATTAGATCTCCATAAAGCTGTCACGGGGAAAAAAAAAACTCAGCTCTGAACCCATCTCCTCCAAGAAATTCTCTCTAACTTATGAATAAAGATCACTCCCCTCCGAACAGTAGAGAAAAAAAAGAACCCTTCTTTCTCTTCTTTTTAATTTATTCGCCAACAAACATGTATTGATCACCATAAAAGCCCAAGTGCAGTGCTAGACATTGAGGAAACGAAGATGAACCATACCAAACTGGGCGTAGGTTACTGCACTACTGTACCCCAAGGTCCTGGGCTCCCCAAACCACACTGACTTTACCATCTTCTCCACTTCTTTCTTCCTAAGGCTAAAGGAGGGGGAAACAAAGGCGGGTGGGGGGGATGGTCTCCCAATCCTCTTCCTCTTTCTCTGTTTAACTTGTGCAGTTAAAACCCACAGCCCCTTGCCTTCTGCTGCATCAGACTTCAGGGCAGCCTGCAAGGTGCTATTCTGGCCCAAGGAGAGGTAGATTCTGGAGGGAAAATGGGAAGAGGATGTCACACTGGGCCTGGTATGCTAATCCCCACTGGCTGAACCAGGCCAGAGCAGAGCAATTTTCCAATCCTGGAACGGATGAGGGGTCCCAGGTGCTGCTCCGGGACACTTGAGTGTGGAAGCTTATACCCTCAAGCAAATCCAAGCCACACAAAACACTCACAGAATAATCCACAAAACACTCACAGACAATAATCCTTCACCATGACGTGGCATTTTCACATGTGGAAAACGTTTTCATGAGTATGACTCCCAAGACGCGTCTCCCCTTCCATGGATGGAGAAGGGGAGACGCACAGAGCGGTGAATGAGGTGGGGTATCCGAGGTCCCACAGAACTGAAATTTAAACTGAAATCTCCCGAAGATGCCTGGGTGGCTCAGTTAGTTAAAGGTTTACCTTCAGAGTTCAGGTCATGATCCCAGGGTCCTGGGACTGAGCTCTGCATCAGGCTCCCTGCTCAACGCAGAGCCTGCTTCTCCCTCTCCCAGACCACCTCCCCCACTCATGCTCTCTCTCAAATAAATAGATAAAATATTTAAGAATAAAAAAATTAAAAAAAAAAAAAACCTGAAATCCTCTGGCTTCCAGTCCAATATTCTTTCTGCTCTACCACCCTCAAACGCCAGCTCCTTTTCTCCGGGAATCTTGCTGGGCATCTATCTACAAGTTTCTACTCATTCGATTGCTTCTTTTCTCTCCAAGAAGCCTTCCATTTTCAAGACCTACACATGATGGGGTTTTGTGTTTACCAATATCCAGAGAGATGCCAACACGAGGCAGTGTACAGTGGTTAAGAGTAGAGATCTGAGTCTGACCGATTTGGGTTCGAATCCAGAGTTTGCCTTTATTCTACACATTCACGCATGTTCTTTTAATCCGGCAGGCTGTTACTTAAAAGACCTGCCTTCATCTACACCTAAAAGGTGAAAATAATTCCTGATTTTAGGAATACTGAAGATTCCACGGCACCCTTAGACAACGCTCTTAGACAACTCTAAAACCAAGAAAGCCTTCCTTAATTCCAACCAAATCCACTTCCATCCTCACCCTGGCCAGCAACGCAAGCCTCTTTCCCCCTTATTGTGTCCTCAAGAGGTGTGGCAAATCCCAAAATCAAAACGGGGTCTCTATTAGGGTCTCTCACATCCGAGGGGAAAGCTGACAAACTGTGATGAACTATTTTCATTCAAGATTAGCTCCTGGTTGGCTCAGTTGGTAGAGCGGGGTTGTGACTTCAAGCCCCACACTGGGCATAGAGATTACTTTAAAAAAAAGAAGGAGAGGAAGAAAAAGGAGAAGAAGAAAATGGAAGAGGAGAAGAAAAAGTATAAAAAAGATTAGCTCCCTCCAAGCTTGGCCTCCTCCCCTCTACTCTGTGGAAAGGGCAGCATGATGAGGTACCAGACAGAAAGAATTGTTATCCTCAGATCCACAAAAAGCTCAACAAGGATAACCACTTTCAGTCACCAGAAAAGAGATCCTGGAAAGCTTGGCATAACCCCACTGATTCTTCAGTGTCCCTCAAAGACACAAGGCTCATCCTACTTCTTTCTTCTTCTAATGTTTTTTATTATTATTACTATTATTTTACTTTTTGTAAGTTCTGCACCCAACATGGTGCTCGATCCCATGACCCGAAGAGATCAAGAGTGGCAGACTCTTCCAGCTGAGCCAGCCTGGTGCCACCACCCTGCTTTTTTTGCCTTTGTCCATGTTGTTCTCCTTTCCTGATCTCATGTCCCTGACCTCACACTTTTCCTGCTGTTTTTCTACCACCCATCTGTGTTTGCCACAGTTTGAGACTCCCCCTTCCAGAAATCATTATGTCTTCCAATGGTTCTACCTCCTCCACAGGAGTGAAACTCACGGGTCTTAATCTTAATTACTTATACAAGTCTCTGCCCACTCTCCTTCTCAAAGCTGGTATTCCCTTTTCTCCCTTCCATCTCTCCTTCCAGGATCCCATTGACATCAGCTGGTACCAGACCATGTTCAGAAGAACATTCAATAAATACTTGCTGAATTGAAGTGAGTGAAACTCAACAGGCTGGGAGGAGGAGTCCTGGGGAAGGTGGCCAATCCTCCAGCTCCCCCACAGGAGACAACCCTAGAGACGGGACCCTAGAGTCTGGAAGTAAATGGGCAGAGTCCATGCTACAAAGAGCCAGTGAGGATCCCTCACCCCCACAAACCAGGCCATGGGCTTGCCTCCAACATACTCCTAGCCAAGGTCCAACCAAGCTGCCCTATGGTTTTCTACACGAACTTCTCCCACTTCTCCCAGGACAAACCAAACTTCTTCCACTACTCTGATGCCACATTATCCCAGGCAAAAAAGTAGCAGGCACAAACCAGAGTAGCACAGAAGCAGCTCTACAGGCCGAAAGACTCTCTGTAACAGAAAATGAAAACTCCAGCACATCGGCTACACGTGGGGGCCAGGACAGGCAAGCTGGTGTGGCCAAAATACTTCATAAAAATTGAAATGGGAGTTCAGCAATAGGAGTCTAAGGGAAGGCGCCCCTTAACCTCTCGCACCTTGTTACCTCCACGTCTTAAATGGCAATGACAGTAGTACCTAACGCAGAGTTTTCGTGATACAATGTGCTCACGTCGTGACCTGCACGTGATAAGGGCTCAATAGATATTAGCTGCCATGGATTTACCATTCACTTTGCTATGAGGATGGAATGAGATGGAATGCGGCGGGAACCCCCCCACCCCCCAGGTGTATGGCACAGGAGGAAGTCGCAGGCCCCAGGCCCCGGCTTGGGGAGACACGCGTGGAAGCCGCAGTACTCCCGGCCCTCGAGCGGGGAGCAGCGGTGCCCGAAGCCCACTCTGGCCAGCACCCCCTCCCCGCTTTCCTCCGCGAGGTGTCGGCCAGGACGCCCCCCCCGGGAGGGTAGGGGAGGGAAAGGGGAAGCAGGCAGGGGGGCGGCGCAGGGACGTACCTGCTTTCACTGCACTCCTTTCGCTCCCTCACCCTGAGCCACTTGCGGAGGAGGAAGCGCTTTCGGCGCGGAGAAGCGCTGGGTGTGGAGCAGTTGGACCAGGGGGTGTCCTCGTCGCTGGAGGGCGTGATCTCGATGGACGGCAGCTGCAGGAACTCCTTGCCCGGGGCCAGGACGCCGGGCAGGTCCCGGGTCAGCCCGGCCTCCAGGCTCTGCTCCTGCACGTTCTTCATGCGGCGCATCTTGAAGCGCCGGCGGCGGAGCGTGGGGGTCGACGAGCTGGACCAGAGCGGGCTGCCCTCGGGCGCGCCCTCGGGCTCGGGCACCTGCAGGGCGGGCGGCTGCAGGTTCTCCAGCATGTTGGCCGCCGGCATGGGGGCCCGTGGCGGCCGCGCTCCCTCGGCGCCCTCCGCCAGCCGCCTCGCTCCCCACCCCTGGCCGTGGCGCGCTCGGCCCGCTCTCGTTGGGAAACGCTCGCCGCTCGAGCCGCGCGGAGAGGGCAAGTTCGTCTGCCGGCGCGCCGCGGGGCAGGCGCGCGCCGCCGCCGGGGCCGAACTTTCCGGTGCGCGCTCCCCCAGGCTGTCGGCGCCGGCCCGCCCCGGCCGCCGCCCGCCGCCACCCGGCCGCCCTCCTGGGGCTCCCGCGGCGCGCCCGCTTGTTTTTCTTCCGCGCTCTCCCCGGCCTGCTTGCGTCTTCGCCTTAGCGGGACTCGGCGGCGCGGGGCCCCAGGGGGCGGCTCGGCAAACTCTCAGCGGCTGGCGATCGGCCGACCAGGCTGGGGAGCCGGCGTGGCGCTGTAGGCAGGCGGAGAGCAGGAGGGAGATGGGGAGAGAAAGAGAGAGAGAGAAGAAGCGAGACACTGGATGAAAACAAGAAAAGGAGGAGGGGGGAGCTAAGAGGGAGGGGAGGGGAGGTCATTTCTGTCCAGAAGGGGCATGCACAGGCAGCGACAGCTAGGGTAACTGTAGGCAAAATCCCTTGGGGAGGGACTCTACCTCCGAGTAAAGGCTGCTCCAATCAGCCTAATGAAACAGGATCACAAACCAAACTTTCTCAAAGCAGCGATTGGCCAGGCAGCTCTCATTAGTCTAATGCCCAGCTTTTTCTTCGGGGCAAGCAGGGGAGGGGGAAAGGAGAACGGAGCAATCAGGAATTCAGTTCTCATTCCCCAAGGCCACCCAAGACAGGGTTGGGGGAAAACTAGGGGGCTTTTCAGCAGGATGTTTTCTAAGAAAAGTGCTTTCTTTAAATTATGTGGGAGTGCGGGTAGGGGCACAGGAAGGCTGGGCATAGTCAGAGGATGACAGCAAGGTTCCGGGAGGCTGCTTCCAAAATGACAAGTTGAGAAGAGAGAACAGTTCTCCTGTGGAATCAGCTGAGGACAGCGGACAGGACATACCAAGGAAAGACAGACAACAGGACCCGAGAGACACAGGACACACAGGACCAGTAAGGAAAAAGGACTGGTCCCTCTCCATCTTGACCGACCCGGTCAATACCACAGCCCCATCCCAAAGCACAAAATGAAGGTACTGGAGGGTTGAGCCCCCAGAAGGCAAAGCATCCAGCAAAGCCTTCCTGGGAGTTACGTTCCTAGGGGACGATTCAATTCTGCTTCTACCTGCAAGGGGTATGGACTGGGTCCCCAAAAAATCTTCTAGGTCATGGAACCTAGAAAGTGAAGCAGCCCTGGCGGTGTCTGAAGGTATGCTGACCCACTACCTCCCTAGACCCATGTACCTATAGCCCTAAGAGCCTGGCCGGAGACCTGATCCACTTCAGTGAGGCAAATGCCATCAGGACTGAGCATAAACCAGCCCAGCTTGTAGTGCAGAGGCTGTACGTTCCATTTTCCTCCCTTCCAGCCCAGCACAAATGCCTCTCCACTATTTGCTTCTCCACAAAGTAAGGACAGCTGGTTTCAAACAGACCAGGAGGAGCACAGAAGAATGCACCCTTAAATCCACAATTCAACTCACCTGTTCTTCTCTGCCCCTCTCTAGGGGTCCAATTCCCAGTTAAGAGCTGATGCCCCAGCTTCCCTACCAGGATGAAGGACACAGTGTCCCAAAGCTGCAAGAACTCACAGGAAGAAAATCCGTCCCTACAGGTCAGCAAAACATCAAGCATGACAACTGGCCATGGGTCCATCACGCCCCAGAATGACCCATGGAGGGGAGCTCAAGGTATCAATGTCCAAGAGGCCAGGCAACTGAGGGAAGTCAATTTTGCACTGGGACAGAGATAGTGTGGCCAAAAGGCCAAGGCCAGGCCCACCTGTAAATGACTGCCCGAATCATCAGCTGGTCTTATTTCTGACTCTACACATCCGGCCACTAGCTCTCTCAAAGGTGGTTTTGGTATCACTCTATTTTAACTCCCGGACATGACACAGAAAAGAGAAACCCCTTCAGGTGTCAGGCCTGGCAAGGAGCAGAACAGTTCTTCCGGCCCCAGGAATGCAGAGGGCCTGGGACAGGCAACTCCAAACTTCTGGATACGGAGTAAAGTCAAGGCACCAGAGTTGCTCATTGCCTTGGACTTCCCCCAAGGATGCTCACTGCCTTGGACTTCCTCCAAGGACAAGGGCTTTGCAGGGGATCGGATAACTTCCCATTGCACGGAACCTGCCTTTTGAGGGGCCTGCTGAAGTACGAAGCGTGAGGATTCACCACACAGGGCTAACCCACTTGATGGGTACTGGGGTGGGGGAAAGAGAGATTCAGGAGGGTAGCAGGCCCTTGAAGTTGATCACCAGCACTCTGAATTTCAAAGGATGCTTCTTAAAAGGAATAAAAGTCACCAGGCTCCCTCTTCCAACAAACTGCAGCCGCTTTTCCCACCCACAATAGGATTCTGGACCTAAAATCGAAAATCCTAGGAGATTTAATTTAAGCCTTGGGCACTGCAGTAGTTGAGAACGATCATTTACATTTTACCTGGCCTGAGGGAAAACCTCCTCCAAACGAAATCTGAAATGGTTTCACTTGGCTGAGAAGCAGATATCCAGAGGACAACAAGGCCCCCAGCACCGTCCTTGCTTACTTCCATGGCAGTCCCTTCTCCCCTTCTACTAAACCCTGTTCAAAATACACTCTCCTATCCTCCTGCAGCTGTTTCTGTTTTATTATTATTTTTATTTATTCTTTTTTTTTTTTTTTTTTTTTTTTACCATGGCACCATCGAGTGAGATGATGAAGGGGGACTGCTTTGAGAAAGGAAAGCCCCTTTGACGGCGAGCCATCATTACTATTGAGACCACAAGCCTGTAGCAGGAAGAACCAAGTCTCTCCTCCCTTAGATTCTCTTTAGTATCCTGCGTGTTTTTGTTGTATAGTAACCTTTACACTTTTGCAGAGGACTTCCACACATAACATTTTATCTTCCCAGCGACCCAGGGGTGAGGTAGAACTTTATCCAAGGTCATAGATTAAAAAAAAAAAAAAGTCAAAGGCAAAACCAGAACTTGAACCCAGTTCTTCTGAGGCCCGTTGGAGGCCCCCAGAATCTCACCAGGTGTATCAGCTCAGGAAAACAGCAGGTCCCCGGAAGCACCCGAATTCTACCAGCCCTCACCTCGGCTGGGGATATCACGAAGCTATATGCAGCTATTCGATCCCATTAGTCATTTTACAAGTGGGAAAATGGAAGCAGGAAATCTTAAAAAAAAAAAAAAAAGCAATTGCCCAAAGCAGCTGTTGGCAGGGGTTCAGGACTAGGGTTTCCACTGGGTACTTCGGAATCTCAGTCCCTGCATTCCTCTCCCCACCTCCCCCTCCCCACCTCAAACCCACATTTGGCCCCAGCAGACCCTGTGTTCCCTGGGGAGCTGACCTCACCTCTGGCCTCCCAGACAGGTGGAAAGCTGGAACAACCTGGCCTCCCCTCCCCCACCCGCAGCCAGGCCTCTGACTTTAAATGAAAGGAGCTCATATTACCAAGCAACTGTTGTTTATGCTCAGCTGTTCAGGCTCTCTTTTCCTGCAGACACAAGACACCCAGCACCTGTCTATTACTTCTGCAGACCCACTAACTACAGTCTGGTTTGCAGCCAGACTTTGGGAGGGAGCATGACTGAACGATAGGGTTACATTTCTCCTGGGCGCACATCCAAGTGAGTGTGAGCTACAAGGGGCAGGTCCCCCACGACCGCCCATCCCACCTGCCCCAGGGTTGCCAAGGACAGGCAACTCCCAAGAGCCAAGGCAGGACTGCCCCCTCCAACACAGCTGCCACACATGCCAGAAAGTCCTCGCCCTCTAGCTTGGGATGTGGGGTCTGTCTCCTGCACAACATGAGAACAAGCAAAGCCCAGTGCTCGCCCACGCAGAAAGGGAAGCAAGCAGCAGGCCTCCACGGAGTGGACTTCGTTACTATGGGAGAAGCTGGAAATCTGACAGAAGTGTGAAGGGTGCTGCCACACAAGGTTATTACCTGTCTTCAAATACAAAGTGAAGGGTGGCAGACCTCACTCTCTAGCTCTCCTTCTGCGGCTGAGCAAGAGGAGGGGAGTGTAGAGCTACATGCGGGGGATTCAGGTTGGATGATAAGCATCTGTTGAGGCTAAATCCAGTTAGGGACTGGGATGAATGACCCAGGATGGATAGCCTGGCTTTCTCTGAACATCTCAGGTAACTGGAGCTCAGTGGGAGGCAGCAGCAGGAAAGAGATGATGTCTTAAAGGCCCAGTCCCCAGCCCATCACCAGGGGACTGTGAGGCCCCAGATTCTCTCTCTTTTTTTAAAAAAAGCATAAAACAAAGTCCATCTGAACGGATGCACGTCTGGCCCCAGGCATCTTGATGACTGGATACTGAATACCTCCCTGAAACCTACAAACCGCTTTTGCATCTTGCATGGTGAAATAGAAAATCAGGGAGTAATCAGTAGGGTGGGAATGGGACCAGGAGCCGGGAGTGGGCAGACAGGAGCAAGAGAAAGGACTGGAAAGAACAGGCGTCAACCCCTCCTGGTATCTCAGTTCTGTTCCTTTTACTAATCCCTACCTCATTTCCCCGTGAAGGTGCGAGCTACTGAAGAAGTCAGAGGAAACTGCATGGGATCTGTGTGGTCAGGGGAGGGCAGAGCGTGCTGGCTGAACGAACAGTCTCACTAAAACCACAGTTGGCCAGCCACCTCGTCCAGCATCTCCTGAGGAAAGGAAGAAAATGCCATAAGACTTGTATGGAGTCTAGTTGCCAAGGGCAGAGCGCTGGCAAGGCCTCTCAGCCACAGGGAATGCACACAGAGCTTCCACTAGCCTTCGGCAGGGGCCAGGGTGAACAATGACGTCACCTCAGGAGAAGGACTGTCACCAGATAAGCCTCCCTGGTTTAATTGCTCATCAAAAGGCTTAGGAGTCAAAGAAGAATATTTTGCACAACAACATTTGGCTGCCCCGTGTTCTTGACACCAGGATACCAAGGCAAAGACATCATCTCTTGTCCTCTAAGCCTTACAAGGACAGTCTGTGTGCAAACCAAGGCCGGAAGAAACTTCCTGACGTCATCCTGTCTCCTTGCTGTCCTTGCAGGTGGTATGATCTGGGGATTCCACTACTTTCCTTGGAGGCACCAAGAACTATTGGCAATATAACGTAGTGATTAAGTGCACAGACCCAAGGCGTGCGATCTCAGCTTTAGACCCCATTTCCTCACTGACTAGCTCTTTGATTCGGGGGTAGGTTACTTAGTTTCTCTGTCTCAGCTTCCTCACCTGCAAAATCAAGGTAATTGATAGCATCTCCCTCCTGGGTTGTGAGCACTGGAACAGTCTAGGACACTCAGAACAGTGCTTGGCCCACCGGAAGCGGTCTATAAATGTTAG